AGTTTACCAAGCAGGTGGGTGTTCTGCCAAAGTATCTATATGTAATATAATATATGCAATTTTATTAATGCTAATGTTAATATTAATGCTAATATTTGTAAGTCTAAATTTTGAGCCAGCGAGTGTAAAAGAACTAGTAGTGACAGTAAAAAATGAATATTTGATAAAGTGGCTACAACAACACATTTTTAAATGTGGTTTTAAATACTTTCTAAAAAAATTAAAGGTAATAATTTGTATTTATTGCTTAATAGTTTGTATAAAAGCAATACATGGCTTCAACACAGTCTGGTGGTAGGTTGTGAAATTATATAGCAAAGTCGTAGTTATGAGGCAGGGGCCACACCAGACCAATTCTTTTACACTTCCTTTGTAACTTTTTGTATTGTTTTCAAATTACTTTCTGATCATGTTTCAGCAACAAATCTACAAAAAGATGATGCTTGGATCTAAAGTATGCTCATCACAAGTTCAGTGGCTCGGTGTCTTTTGGATTTTAAGTCTAAGATGAGGATGTCGATGCTAGTCCCAGAGCTGGTCACCACAGCTGATCCACAGGAGAACTGTAAAAGCAGTTCTTTAAAAGCAAAGTAGAATATGAAGCAGGTGCCTCAAAGACTAACTACCTTTTTATTTTTAAAGATACAGGGAGACAAAGGTTACACATATGTTAGTGATTATTATCACTCTATTGATGTGGTGATTTGCATCTCTCCCTACCTATCAAACAAGACCCTGTTATTTATTTATTTATTTATTTATTTATTTATTTATTTATTTATTTATTTTTTGACCATGTGAGTGTACGTAATAAGTGTATCATGATGTTTTCTCACATGACTGAGAATGCCCCTGCTCTGTTTTCATATCACGTCCTTTTCACAGTTTCAACCTGTGCAGTTTTACAAAACCTGTAATCCTTTAGATTAACCATCTCTTTGTTCTCTATGACAATATGGGGACGATTTTCTGTGTGAAGTCTTCTCTTTATGGTCCACTCCAACAGTGTGTCTACCTCTTAAAAAGCAGAATCCTTGTTTGGTTGAATGTTCTCGCGTGGACGTGTTTATTTGTTGCACCTTAAGGATGGTCTGTTTCACTGGCACTGAGAGTGAATTTGGATGTTTTGGGTTTCAAATGTAAATACTTTAAATCATCAGGCCACTGAAGAATTAAGAAATAGTCTCCATGTCTCCAAAAAAGGCCTTTGTTTGATTGTCTCAGAGATGCTGAAAAGTTAACTGTGGCTAAAAAATAAAAAAAATAATACAATATTTTTGGTCAGTCTGTCAAGTTAAAGCTTTAAGCCAGTTTTAATCATATTAACAATAATTAGAAAATGTATTGTTACACAGCTAAGATTTTAGAAAACCACATCTAAAATATGCATCTAAATATATCTTTATTAAATAAAGATGTCTTTATTTTCATTAGCAGCTGTGTGAGTCTGTCTTGTTATGAAATTTGCATTTTTGTCCTATTCATTTTAAATGAGAATGTTGTTGTACCACAACATTATATTCATCTGTGCAAAGCTCAGCACACAGTTACCTGCAGAGCTGCATGTAGGTGTGAGCCCAGGTAACAACAACACTTTACTCTGAAAAGAAACTTCCGCTGCTCTGGAATGTACCTGCACATCATCAGCCTGACACACACACATAGCTTTACTCTCTCCCCGTCTCCCTCGCTCTCTCTGCCCCTTCCCCCTCCCTGCCTCCACCTCGCTCTCTTTCTTTCACACACAGACACATAACCCTGCTACTCTGTCAGATTTATTTATACAAAGGAGGAATGACTAAGATCAGAGAAGAGGGCATATAGGGGGATAGATGTGTGCATGTGTGCATGGTTGCATGTGTCTGTGTGTGAAAGAGAGAGAGAGAGAAGGATGTATAGAGAGGGAGAGATCAGGAGTCTGACCGACTGACCTACAGTCTAATTATGTATCATTATCAGGAGACAAACTGATCTAAATTACTGCAACAGCTCCCATTCACATAGATGGATTACACAGAGCAGGACGATGCACACACTCACGCACACACGCACACACGCAGAATCAGCCCCATTCAGCACTTAAACAAATATAAATCATATGCCTTCCTCACAGAGAATTCCTCTGCACATTCTGCAACCCCCATTTTCTCCTGAACTCTGTCTTCTGCACAGGCTAGCAAAGATACAACCATCGGCAAAGATCTTTTACTCTGGAGCAGACATTCGTTTGAAGTATCTTTTCATAAAATGACACTTTTGTTACCATTAATAATAGTTTCATATAATCAGAATCAATCATACAATATTTCAACTCATTTGCACAGTAAGACTGGAAACATTGTAACACTCCATTTCACATACCAAATGGCACACCTGTTGCTACGCTGCTGACAGGAAAGACTACAGCAAAAATATTACAGTGTTGTCCAGTCTTATAGCCCCATCGCCAACACTGATTCCTGTTTAGCCTCTAAAACCTCGTCTCTGCCACCAGAACACATCGTTTTTACCCTGTATAGCTTTCTCGCCAACGCTGTTGTAAAGAGTTGGGGAAATGAAAAGTTATGCTAGACTGTAAATGACTGGCTTTACAAAGAAACTAATAAAAACTATAAAACGCTAAACTGATAAGCAAAACTTACTGAACATTGAAATAAACTACAAACTTGCCCTTAAAGTGTCATATAGATGGAATTACCTCCATGGAAGTCGTATCAATGGAGCAATAGCTATGTTTTTAGAAAGTCTGTTTTTAAAAACGCTTTAAATGTGTCATCATTTTATGTTATTCTCAAATAGAATTTAGTTTTCTCAGGCTCATTGGTTAAACTGCTTGGTTACATTTATGAAAGGTCATAGTTTGGGTTAAATAAGGAAAGTTATTGTCACAACTCAGCGTTTTCCATTTTATGAGGTTGCCAGGAAGCAAGCATGGGCAACTCCTAATTTCACAGCCATCGTTCACACTCATGAAATGAAGCTGAGCAACAGGATCGAATCGCGACTGTCAAAAAAAAGAGTTCTCTTGCATTATGCGTGCAAGTGTGTTATATGCATATTAGACACACACAGTTCTTTTCCTTCTTGTGTCTGTTATGGTCACAAAGAAGGAAAAGACCTCCACTGCAACATGTTGCTGCCCAGTGCCGCTGCTATTTTCTTACTGTGTTGCTGGGACCCCAAAACATTTCATTTTACAGCGCCAGAAATCATTAACAGTCTAGTCTAGTGGAGGTTAACGTTTAAGCATTCACACGCATGAAGTCAATGGATTTCAATGATGTGTATGTGTCTGCATCACAGTCCTTAAGTGAGATGTTGCAGGTCTTGAAAATGTTGTTAGACATCTTACAGTTACAATCTTACAATTATCTGAAGGTGCTTCCAAATTTATATCGCCAGCAAGATTTTCCAAGTATTTTCAGTTAATCATTTGACAGTAGCCCCACCCAGTCAACCAGTTCATTTTATTTCAGGTGTTTATTTCACGCATTTCCACAGCCTGAGTACTGAACACACACACAAAGCCCCCACCCCCACTGTCTCTCTTCAGCTAAAGTAAATAAATAAATAACTATTTTAAAAATAGCGGTAAATTGCGTGTACATATTCAGATGTTGTATGGCGTTTTCTTTAAATGATTGATGAACGGCAGCGAAGTTCAGATTCATTGCTGACTCTGAACTGCGCTGGCATAATAAAGAGAATTAATAAAGATGTAGACCTCTTAGATCCCAACTCACAACCAAAAAACAGGGACTTTGTTTTTGTTGATCTTTCCACGTATTGTTTGGAAAAGGCCGCGTGTTTGGGTCCAGTCACAGTCACCTCCTGATATTTTACCGGCTGTTTATTTACAATGACAGATACATTAAGAGATTATTGTTAATTAATTAATTATTTAATTAATTAATAATAATAATAATATTGAGACCTTCAGTGGTTCGGTAAACGAAATGAATTTCTTTAATTATAGATCTGAAAAAATATAAACTTAAATGCATTTCAGTGTGTTTAGATTGAACTATATCGCTTTAACGTTTTATTCATATACGATAAAAAAAACGGTTATTTGCGTAATAAAGAAATAAATATATAAATAAATACATTTTCAGTAAGCAGTGAGGACTGAAATTTTTAAACACTTGCAACCAAAATGTGGGCGCAATGTTTCCTGCTTTGATAAATATAGACCTGAATAAAACCTAAATAAACTATAATGTTGAGATTTATATGCATGTGTGGATATACGGACCGCTGCTTCGTTAGCCGAATCATGCGCAGCATCGTATTATAAAACTACGAATACACAACTCAAATGAGCTCTGTCACAAATATAAGCAGGTAACGCTTGCTGAGTGTTGGAATAAATTTGAATTCAAAGGGGGTGAAAGATACTTTTAACTCGTCTGGATTCACTATAATATTCTGCCTAATTGAATTAAAACTAGTATGAACATGAACACCAATCATGTTCAAAATTATTATTATTATTTTTATAAACAGGATGAAGCTAGTCTCTTACACCCCCAAAACATATTAAAGAACAGTAGAGGCCTCTTAATCTAATGTCAGCAGCAGAGAGTTTTAGCACGCTGTCACTGCTGACGTTTCCTTAAATACGTTTGAAAACATTAACGGTCTAAATAGTGAATTAAAATATGGTCCATAGAGTTTGGGCTATCTCGTCTGCATATTGCAGCCTGACTCTTGATAACAGAAACAAGAACTGGATCAGCATCGCTGTGTTCTTGACTTTGGAGTGGTTTCTGCACGCGTGAACGTAAACCGCGCGCGCGCATCTGTGTATGCCAGCATATCTACTTAGCAGACCCACTGACATAAAAGTGAAGTAAACAGAGCCTGCAGACGGGGCCAGAGCAAGGGGCGGAGGCTCGCCATTGGTTGACTGAGGCAGTGAAATCCGTTTCTCCTCCCCGGTAGTGAAGATGACGTGGTGAATGAACCCCTCTCTCCCTCTCTCTCACCGACAAGCTGGCTGGAGAATAGTTCAGTATCAACTAGCCACTTGTGACCCTGTGCCTGAACAGACCAGTCTCGCATTGCCAAACTGCCCTGAGCCTGACAGCTGACAACTGTCTCGAGAAAGATTAAATGGCGTGCAGGGTGGGGTGGGGGGTGAAGAAGAGGAATACGCACTGAGTGGCCGGTAAAAGAAGACCTAAAAAGTTCTGCTGAGACTTTTTAAAGAGAAGATAAATGAGGAAAATGTCTTAGGAGGAGTCGTTTCAACACAACTGAGAGGCCTCGCGACAGGTCGCTAGGACGGCTCCAGCGTACCGTCGCACGGAATACCGACCCTTACGGTCGGAAGCGATTGGCTTCGACCGCGGGGAATCAACCGAGGATGCAGACATCTGAGCGCTGCTGACTAACGAAGGTGCGATTACTGCTGCAGCATCCGACAAGGACTTGTGCGCGCGCGCGTGTTTGTGTGTGTGTGTGTGCGTGCGCGCGCGCGTTGGGGGTGGGGGGCGCTCACGCGTGCTCGAGTGCGTATTTTTGTGTGTCACTATGAGTCTTGTCTCGGGCTTCCCTCACCACCCGGTCATGCACCATCACGACAGCCACCACTATTCGCTGCATGCAGCGGCGGCCGGTCGGTGTCACGAAGACGCCGGGGCTCCACCATACTTCACAAGCTGGTTGATAAGTCACGCGGATATGTCACCTACAGAGTACAGCCTTGCGCCCGGCTACAGCCCGGAGTACCATGGCAACAGCGGCAGTGGGTCAACCGTCGGACTGGACCCACACCATCACCACTACTATGGCCCTGGAGGGTTAGTTCCTGGACCCGGCACCATCTCGATGAACGGAACCGCGGTCGGTATGCACCATCATCACCACACTCATCCTCGGACCGTGAAGCGAAGACCAACGGCCAATCGCAAGGAAAGGCGGCGGACCCAGAGCATTAACTCAGCTTTCGCGGAGCTGAGGGAATGTATCCCTAACGTCCCGGCCGACACCAAGCTGTCCAAGATCAAGACGCTGCGCTTGGCCACCAGCTACATCTCTTACTTAATGGACATCCTAGACAAGGACGAACAACACGGAGACACTCAGGCTTTCAAGGCCGAGCTAAAAAAGACGGAGGCTCGGGAAGAACGGCGGAAAAGAGAGGCGGTAAGATGCGCTCTACGGCCACTGTTTGTTGTGAAAATGAGGTTAAAAGGTACTCATTATAATAATCACTTAACGCAAACAGTACACATATAGTCTCTGGTTAGCTGGTTCATTAGTAAAGGAATTATTAAAGGAAGGTTCTGACGCTGCAGGAGGAATTTAGAGTTACTTTCGAAGAAAAGTAACAACAGTTTAAAATCGCCAAGGATTATAATTACAGACAAATACAGATTTAGAATTCTGTCCTATATATCTGCCAAAGCAACACACTCTTTTTTACAAACCAGATGGATAAACCATTTCCAATGGTGACCTTACATTTAAGACGAATTAAATGAGTTTATTTTTACTCGACTCAACAAATTACCTAAATTCACAAATTTGATTCACTCCTAACACTGAATTATTTAATATCGATTTATTTGACAAAGATGAATCATTGAAGGAGACATTTAAACACGTTGTTGGTAGGCAGCGTCTGACAGGAGACAATAAACATTAATTTTGTGCATCGTGGGATTTACTGAAGGTTCATAGTTCTTTTAAAACTCTGAGTCACGCCGTTTACTTTCCACAGAAATAAAAAATTGTGTAAAATTAACTTCCGAATAGTCTGGAATTTATAGAATACGGGACATCTTTTCTGCGGGTTGTTGAAGTAAATGTGAAGTAAATGTGAAGTAAAATCGACACATTTAAAATTGTACGTTTTGCTTTTGCACGAGTGCCCACATGTTTTTTCCACAGCAGCGTATTCATATAGCCGCATCAGCACATAGTTACTATATTTTAAATTTAACGTTCTCTACAATAATAGTGATAAATCCAGTTAACAACAACAGTTGTGGCGCCGTAAAAAAAGTTTGAAGCAATCGTCTGCTGCAATTTGACCGAGATTCACCAACAAGCCGCGAATATTTTGCATATTGAATGAAAACTAATGGACTGGCGGGCAAGCAGAGGATAGATAGAGCTGTTATCAGCTCTGTGTATATTAATGCACTTAATTTAAATTCCAGCATTAAGACGCATCCCTTATCCACGCACACGTGATACTTACACTACTGTATAAGTGTGCAGACATTTAGACATGCAAACAGTCTCTACGGTGCTGTGATGAGTGAGTGGGGTGGGGAACAGGCAGAGACCAAGCCAAAATCTACTGTGGTAGGGGAAAGGGGAAACAGCAGCACAGGCTTATGGTGTGCTAGAATTACACAGTACACAAATGGGGGGTAATCAGAGAGCAACATTTATTTGGAGAATTTTGCTGAAATAGCCAATAAACTGAGAGCAAATAGTAAAATTGAAGAGTGTTTCCCTATTTTTGTAATAGCCACATGACTTCTTTTGCACTGATCACTCAAGCAAAAACATATATCATCATAAACATACAAAAAGATTGTACACACAACTGTGATAGAGTACAAATGAAACAAGTCTACAGAAAGCTGGTTGCCATTCTCTGACGGTTGAGCCAGGAGGGCCAGGAGCTGCCAGACAGACCAACCAGCCTGCAACACTCTCACCCTTACAGCCAGTAACGTTATGTACTTTTGGTCACTTTTGGTACTTTTAGCTCTGGCTGCACTGCCCAGATGTGAGCCATGGCTCCAGCTTTAGAGGGCCGTGTAGTTGTTTGCTATTTATTTGTTTGGCCAATCCAACAGTTTTAATCCCATTTCAACAGATTTTTACCTGCCTTTGGCATTCAGCTGACCCCCACACACACACTAGCATTTATCTGGCCATTTAAAACATAGTAATATCAAACGGAGGCCATCGTATTTATATTTATATGGTCATAGCTTATGTCACTGATTCATGCTTCTGCATTTTGTTTATAATGCTTATTTATGTCAGAATAAATATTATCAGCACAACAAGTTGCCTTTCTTAGAGTGACCACTGAGCTTTGTCCTGCAGAGAAGATGAGTGTGGACGATGGCCATGTGTGGTTGTTTGTTCAGCAGACAAACAATACCACAGAAGAGATGGAGGAGAAGAATAATTTCCTGTCTATTGTCTATAGGAAGTGTGGTGCATAATTGAAGCCAGAGAGCTTTCTTCTTCCCTCATATTTCAAAAAGAGAATGCAGTCCACTTCATAACTCATGTCAGCTCTCTC